GTACTTCATATATTGCCCATTTACCTCTTCGCACCATTATCTGTTTTCGGTTACTCAAAGCCTTGCGAATGGCATCTTAAACCGATGCTTAAGTGATTAGACTTCACTACATCAACTTGAAGCGGCACACTCTGAGTTGGCATTTGAGGATATGAGAACACTGGTGCGAATAGGTAAATGGACGATCTTCACTGGGGTTGAGAGAAAGAGATGCAGCACCAGAAAGCAGGACAAAAAGAGTCAATGAGGGATGCCACAACAATTGAATAGAAATATGGTCAAGGGGACTGCCATCAATTCTCACTGATAAGTTGTAATCATGGGCTGATGATGGCGCATCTCAATGACGATATCAACGAAATGTGTTTTAAAGCACTCATGGTACTACTAGAGAATTTAGAAAGAGAAGTAACATCATGTAGACGGAGCGAATCCGAAAAGAGTCTCTAGCCCGATTAATCAATCTTACAATTAGAATAACCTATTTCACGTTCGAAGGCCACATCTATGAGCAAATATTTGGTCTTCCTATAGGCTCATCACTCTCATCTCTGTGGAAGAACAATCAGCACAAATATTAAAGAACACCAGCAACTGCAGAAAAATGGAAACGGAAAAATCGGAGATAGCTGAAGAATTCCTCCTTGCCGGCGACACAATTGACTGGGGTGCAAAGAAAAGACTGGCATCTTATGAGAAGGACACTAGAAAACGGACGATCGTGGAAGCCGCGGTCATCCTCTTTCAAGGAAACCTGGTGAAGAGAGAAGACTCAGAGATAATTTCGCGTACTGCCTGGGCAGACTTGGAGATTCGGATTAGATTGAACTGTTAATTTGAGAGATAATATTGAAAAACATTTTGCAAATACGAATGCCATTTTATAACAAAATCCGCAAAATTAAAAAATGTTATGTATTAATTAAAAAAAACTTATGAATCAACGGATTCAGGTTTAGCTAGGGTACTTTTTTAGCTTGTAAAATAACAATGACAATTTAAAACCATTTATATACATATATTCTTAAATGTAATTTTTAGATCCAGCAGGAAGTGCGCCAAATTCTAGAGGATATTCGTTGTGACGAGGCAATGTCAACTAAAGCAAGTAGTTTTCTATTACATGGAACTGAAGACCTTTATCACTTTTCATTTTTATAATGTTCTGCCTTGTTCTACTGGGCTGGGTGTAAGTATTAAGGGATACATGCTAAATAGGTAATCTTTGCCACTATAGCAGAAGTCATCGTAAATATGAGATAAATGCGGTGCTATGATATAATTTTTTTAAAAGTACCTTGATTAATAGACTTCGGAACCTCTTAATGCGATCAATGGATTAAAACATGTTTTCATATTTATTTTACTATCAGGCGAGCATAATATCCAACATAAATTATTCGGGTTCGGTGGAAAGCCCTTACTAGAAATACAAATCAAAGCATGAACTAAAAAAAGATAATGTCTTTGAGAGAATTACCTGTTATTAGTATTATTATTATTATCTTGGAATCGTAACCGTTTTCCTGTTACAAAGGCCAATATATAAATTCCACAATATTGTATTGCGGCAATGTTCGTCTTTCTTCAAGTCTTTATCCAAGTTATCCGCCACTAGGCTCCAAATTTGGGCTATATTCTTGCTTCAATTTCGAAAAGTGTTACCACTTGTTCTTTGGTTTTTAGTCAAAGGACTAATCTTAAATTTTCTTATTCTTGATACTAAGATGTTTAACGGCTTAAACTGCGGCTTTCTCTGGGTAAGAAACGTCTTTTGGAGCACGGAGTGGAATGCATTTGAATAATGAAATAGTGTTCTATTGAATAAGAGCTATGTCACTCAAGATGATCAGAGGACTGATGGTAAATTTTTCCACATTGCGATGGATAAGCCTCATTATTACCTTTAGCTCTATAACCGCGATATTTTACCGAAATTTAGCCCTTTTAATTTTGTTCAAATTAAGTTGCTTTTGCTGAATCATCATGCTTTCACACACTAAATACCTTGATCTTATCATAACTTGCCGAATGGTTATCGGCGAAAGTTCAATCCCATTTTAACCAAATTTGTGTGATTACTATACTTATGTTTCCCCTTTTTAATGCAAAATATGTATAGCGACCTACAACGAACAACCCACATGCGCAACATGCCTACACTTTCTGGTTACTTACACACGTCCTCCGAGAATGGGTGGCTGAAGAGGGAAATAACGCTTTTCTACCGCCCTCTGGCAGCTTACCCGACATGACTTCCGACTCTGCCCGGTACTTGAGACTACTCGAGATCTATCGAAACGCATTCGATACAGTTGTCACCAAGTTTGCATCGAAGTTGGTAAGTTTTACATCCAAATATGTTATTATCAAGATATAACCTTGCTATAGTATTTTCAGTTGAAGGCTAGGCCTCTTGCGACTAACTTAGCCTTTTCTCAGAAGAGGCAGTTTTTATCTAGTGAGGCCTAAAACTTATCTGAATTCGGACGTTGTATGGACAGGCTTCGAGGAAAACACTTTACCTTATATGTCGAATTATCTTATCTTGTTGTGGAAGGCTACTTGAGCTACCAGGAAAGTATAATTTTTAAGGCAAAGCATGCAGTCATCTTTATTTGGAAGTTTAGTATGGACTGTCAACCTTACATTGCCATAAATACGCTTCGATGATGAATCTTTGTTGTCACCTTTTATCAATTGTCTTTTATAAATTACCATTCATCCTTGCCATTTAGAGCTAATTACATTGCAATAGTCATTCCAGCAACAAAACTTTGTACTATACAACTTAAGTTACGTACTCATTTTAATGATAAACTTCCGGTTGTCTATATCAGAATTAAAGATATTCTAACTGCTAGGGTATACATACACGCATTATATGATCTATAACAAACTCCGTTCACCCCTCCCTCATGGAACCCTTTGCACAGTTGCAGGATTTCCTATGAGCTTTTCTTTCTTAGAGACCTAATGCTTTTATTATCTTCTTATAAGGTTTATCGCCCTACCTGTTATTTGAAGTCACCTTTTAGAGTAGAAATATTTTTCTGAACCTCCAAAATTATTGTGATCATATGAATTTTCTCTTATATGTGAAGCCGGTTCAGATTCCCGTTTCTTATAGTGTTTAGAGATCGGTTTGTATCGAATGAATTACGATGTGCGAAAGCAATGAAACGAATAAAAGCTGGATTGTAAAGAAAACCTTAATTATTTATAGAGGTTGCTTGACCTTGTTTTCGCAACTTGGTCATATTGGTAGGAAGACTTAGAGGAAGACACCTAGTCCGGAGTTCATTGTATGCATAATAATTTCGAAAGTCGGACCGTGGACGTGGTACATTCCCAGACGTTCCGCGTGGCATCGTCAGTGAGTCTCGCTAGTCTTAGCACCACACAACAACTCGTCAAAGAGACAAGTGAAGCTGATCCTTGGACTAAACGTGTGCTAAACGGTTGTGGTATCTCCATTTCTGCCCTGGGCTATTCACATTTCCTATATCCTCCTATCACGCTTTCCCTTTTTCAATTTTTACCGTGCCTATTTCGATGTAGTCTGGTGTGCTCCTTTAAGCGGCTTTCATGAAAACCATTCACAATCCACGCTGTCGTTCTCACCCCCTTCACCATTGTGTTCTGAATGTTGATCAGAGTCTGCCATATTGTTACGCAGTCCTTCCCTAGGTCTTTCACAGTCTCCCTCTTGCTCCGTAATATCCATCTGCTCTCTCCCTGGTTCACGTATTTCATTTGACCCCTGCCACTCCATCTGTGCTGCTCGAGGCGTTATTTGCCTCCCCTGCGTCTTGGTGACTAATTCGACGCTAAAGCCTCTGAGTAAGTGGCATGGTAATGCCATTGCTTTATGGACCACGTCTTTGGTAAAACCTACTGTCAGCCGACTAGCTCCCATCGCTGTCGCGTCTATCCTGTTTCTATCCCTAATACCAAGTATATGACTTCCCATGCCC